TGCAGGCCACTGAGGCTCCTCCCACTATAGCTTTTCTGTGATGAAATTTAGAGTGGCAGCTCTGGGGAGGGCTTTCTGATAAGAGTAAAACAGGCTCTCCTGAGAAATGAAATGTTAACACAATGACAATACAAACCCGCTGCTTGCTGCTTCCTGAGTGCCTCCCCTGGGCCAGGCACTGTCCGGACCCCTCACACTCGTGACCCTATTTAATGCCTGTGGGTATTCTTCTTCTCACTTAACAGATAAAGTGACTGAGGATCTGAGAAGTTAGGCAACTTGTCAGCGGTCACAGGGCCGGAAGGTCTGTGCTACAAATCCAACCTGTCACCTAGTCCTGTGGAAGAACTTGGATATTTGAGAATGGGATGACTCCGGGGCCCCTCTGAGCCTTTAGAAGCAGGTTAGAAGGCAGGAGTTCATCCTTCCAGAGCTCACGGGACCCTGCCTCCCAGAGCCACTGCAGGACTGACCCTGCCCAAGCCCCAGGTGCTGACCTAATAGGCGATCCTGAAAACAGGGCCTTTCATAGCAGACAAGAGCAGGGGGCTGCTTGGCCTGGCGAGACCTTTGCTCATCCACAGCAGGGACCTGATTTTTGGGGTCCAGCCCCAGCAGGTCCAGGGGTTCCCAAAGGTGTGGATGGAGTCGGTGAAGAAGGAATGACTCGGAGACAGCATTCAGTTGATCAGCAGCCTAGCCAGGTTCTCTAGCCAGGTTCTAGCCAGGTTCTCTTTTATTCTCCTGTTACATCTGTATTTATACCATTTGATCTTAATACTATCCATTCTATTCCAAAGGTTAGGGCGTTTCTTATCTCCATTCCAAGGTCACTACTGTACCGTTCTGTTAAGCTACAAGGAAGTAAGTGAAGGAGATTATCCTAAGTAAAGATTATGTAGCTTAAGCGTGATTGTTCGTAGTTAAGGTGATTAACTACCTGCCTGGCACTTAGTTAAGGGTTGTTTTTTTGTTTGTTTTTTTATATATTTTATTGATTTTTTACAGAGAGGAAGGGAGAGAGATAGAGAGTTAGAAACATCAATGAGAGAGAAACATCGATCAGCTGCCTCCTGCACATCTCCCACTGGGGATGTGCCCACAACCCACGTACATGCCCTTGACCGGAATCGAACCTGGGACCCTTCAGTCCGAAGGCCGACGCTCTATCCGCTGAGCCAAACCGGTTTCGGCTAGTTAAGGGGTTTTACTGATTAATTCCCTTCCTTAGTCCTGTTTACCCCTAACGCCAGGGAAAAAATCCCCACCTGGGGAAACAACCTTTCTCGGAGAGGTGACCCTGGTTACAACACATAGCGCTAAGAAGGGGAGCAAACATATTAAGAACAGTATCTCATATACGCCAGGTCCCTTGAAACATCTGATGTTTCTTTCCTGCAGCAACTGTGTCAAGCAGCAAGGATGGACTGGCCTCTGGCAACTCCCCTATTCTTATTTTTTAAATGTAGCGCGTGCAAATCAGCAGCCACCTCTCAGATCGAATTGTTTAAGACTCGGAAAAAGACTGAGAAAAGACAAATAATTATTAAAGTTATGAATAAAAATAGGCCTGCACTTAAAAGCATGGGGATAATGCTTTATTTAGAGATAGTTTCAAAAATAAAAACCCCTGCCGAAACCGGTTTGGCTCAGTGGATAGAGCGTCAGCCTGCGGACTGAAAGGTCCCAGGTTCAATTCTGGTCAAGGGCATGTACTTGGGTTGCGGGCACATCCCCAGTGGGAGATGTGTGGGAGGCAGCTGATCGATGTTTCTAACTCTCTATCTCTCTCTCTTCCTCTCTGTAAAAAATCAATAAAATATATTTTAAAATAAAATAAAAACCCCAAATCAGAAGACAATTAAAATTATAGAATGACAGTTAAAGTTGCTAATGCCACTGAATGAGAAACTATTAGTCAAATTTGGTGATTTAAAAACTTTTCAAATAGTTTACATATAAAAAATCAGGCATTAAAATGAAAAGGCACAGATATGGGTTAAAAGAATAATAATCATTTATAAAAGCCTTAAAAATAAGGCTAATTTATTCGTCTTTTTAACACCGTTAAGTAGGCACCTATTCTAAGTTTCAGTTTGGCCTCCTAATGGAATTATGTTTCAAATGAATTTTCAACATACTAATCATAGCAGCATTATTACCGGTAAGTTTCTTAGCCTCTACACTGCTAAAGGAATGCTGGGGTCCAACCCCAGCAGGTCCAGGGGTCCCCAAAGGTGTGGACGGAGTCGGCGAAGAAGGAATGACACGGAGACAGCGTTCAGTTGCAGCGTTCAGTTGATCAGCAGCCTAGCCAGGATCTCTAGCCAAGTTCTGGTGTTTATTGTCGTCTTACATCTGTATTTATACCAGTTGATTTTAATCCTGTCAATTTCTATTGCAAAGGTTAGGGCGTTTCTTATCTCCATTCCAGGGAGTAAAGATTATGTAGCTTAATTGTGATTGTTTGTAGTTAAAGTGATTAACTACCCGCCTGGCACTTCGTTAAGGGGTTTTATCCCCTCCCCAACTTCAGGGAAAAAATCCCTACCTGGGGAAACAACCTTTCTCGGAGAGGTGACCTTGGTTAAAACACATAGCACTAAGGGGAGCAAACATATTAAGAACAGTATGCTCTTAATATACGCCAGGTCCCTTGAAACATATCCTGTGCAGATGTTTCTTTCCTGCAGCGACTGTGTCAAGCAGCAAGGATGGACCGGCTTCTGGCAAAGGAGCATCTAAAATTTCTCTCTGTCCCCAGGCCTCTCTCTAAAAAAATTTTAAAAAATCAATAAACATGAGAACCAAGATGGCGGTGTAAAGTATAAACCTGTGAGTGCTGCCTCCCACAACAACACTGAAACTACAACTATAAGACAAAACAGTTATCATCCAGAACCACGGGAAAGCTGGCCGAGTGGAAGTTCTACAACTAGAAGGAAAGAAAGAAGTGCATTGAGACTGAGTGGGAGGTGCAGAGGCGCCAAGAACAGAGGTACGAAGGCGCGCGCGAGGCGGGCTGCAACTGGATGCGCGGTTTTTTTCAATTGGAATGAGATACAAGCTCTCGAATGCACTGAGCCCATTTAAAGCGAGATTCTGGGGTCCCAGACTCCTATGGGGAGAAACTGGAGTGTCTTGCAGCGGGTCAGAAAGCGAGGGTGGCTTTCTCGAAGAGCTGCTCGCAGGGATCATTGTTGCTGTGGGGGCATGGCACTTGGGGACACACAGACAGACGTGGAGTCGGAGTCCCGGAGACGCGAGGAGTCACAGAGATGCTGACGACAACCATTGCTGTTTGCTCCACCCTGGTGATTCTCTGAGACCCTGCCCCACTCAATTTACATCCCCACCCAAGCTGTGCCAGTGGCGCAAAGGAATCGCCTGCGCTTTTGCAGCCTAACCCAACAAACTGCAGCTGGGTCAGAGAGCTCCAAAACTTCCAAATCCCAAACAAAGAGGAGAAATCTGTTGATATCGCTGTAGCTCCTGCTGGGTGGACCCACACAGTGGTTGACTTGGAGATCCAAGAGCCAGGGTACCCCTGGTCAAATACCATATTTCAACTCCTCACATCCATAAGGGACACATCAAGAAGCAGACTCAGTGAGCACCAAAGCCCCACTGAAGCAAGTCCTGCTCCATAAGGGTGTCTCCAGCACAGCAGTTCTTCCACTAAAGACACAACAGGTCCTCGCAGTCAGCCAAAAATGTGGAGATAAAGAAGCATGTCACAAATGAAAGAAATGGAGGAAAGCAAACTAATGGAGGACATAGAGTTCAAAACCACAGCTATAAGGTTACTCAAGAATCTTCTACGAACCTCCGAGGAACTTAGTGAGACCGTCAAGGATCTTAATGAGAATGCCAAAAAAATGGAAAAGGACCAGTCAGAAATTAAACATACACTGAAATTAAAAATAAAATACAGAGATCCAACAGCAGATTAGAGGATCCCAAGAATCAAGTCAAAGATTTGAAATATGAAGAAGCAAAAAACACCCATCCAGAAAAGCAAAACGAAAAAAGAATCCAAAAATATGAAGATAGTGTAAGGAGCCTCTGGGACAACTTCAAACGTACCAACATCCAAATTATCGGGGTTCCAGAAGAAGAGAGAGAGCAAGATACTGAAAGCATATTAGAAGAAATCATGACAGAAAACTTCCCCTACCTGATGAAAGAAATAGACTTACAAGTCCAGGAAGTGAAGAGAACCCTAAACAAGAGGAATCCAAAGAGGACCACACCAAGACACATCATAATTAAAATGCCAAGGGCTAAAGACAAAGAGAGAATCTTAAAAGCAGCAAGAGAAAAATAGTTAGTTACCTACAAGGGAGTACCCATAGACTGTCAGCTGATTTCTCAACAGAAACCATGCAGGCCAGAAGGGAGTGGCAAGAAATATTCAAAGTGATGAATAGCAAGAACCTACAACCAAGATTACTCTACCCAGCAAAGCTATCATGTAGAATTGAAGGTCAGATAAAGAGCTTCACAAACAAGAAAAAGCTTAAGGAGTTCATCACCAACAAACCAGGAATATATGGAATGCTAAAGGATATTCTTTAAGAAGAGGAAGAAGGAAAAGGTAAAGATAAAAATTATGAACAACAAAGTGACAACAAATAAATACCTATCAACAAGTGAACCTAAAAATTAAGTCAGAATAAACTGGTGAATAGAATAGAATCAGGGGCATAGAAAGGGAGTGGACTGACAATTCTTGGGGGGAAGGGGGTGTGGGGGTGCGGGAAGAGACTGGACAAAAATCTTACACCTATGGATGAGGACAGTGGCAGGGGGTAAGGGCATGGGGTGGGATGGGAACCAGGTGGAGGGGAGATATGGGGGGAAAAAGAGGAACATCTGTAATAATCTGAACAATAAAGATTTATTAATTTAAAAAATGAATAAAAATATCCTTGATGAGGATGGAAAAAAAAGACATACCATATTCAAAAATGATATTTAAACTATGAAATTTATTAAAATAATCAATTAAGTAAATTCCGGTTTTCCAAGTATGTGCATATGTGGTGTGTTTGTACTCGGTGAAGGTGGACTTGTAAAAAATGCACATTTCCGCAGTGATGCTTCATTTGGATCCTGACACCAATTACGAATGGCCGCTCCAGCACTACTGGCTACTACGCAGAGCGCGCCACCCACCGTCCACCACGTTGGTATATCATGCAGGAAAATAGTTTGAGAGATCAAAGCGAAAACCACATCCACGGTCTTCATTAGCGCTACGAGCCCGGCTTTTTCTATTTGAAGGGCTTTGGTGAGAAACACCTGACCCCCCAAAACAAACAGCCCGATTAGTAGGAGAAGAAAGAGCGTGTCCATCCCACAGTTCCGCAGCCTCCACATCCCTAATGCGAAGAGGATGATGACGCACTCCAGGAGGCCAGCCACTACGAAATACCAGATGGTCAAAAAGTAGTCCACAGATTTCCCCATTTTTCTGAGGATAACGAAAGTCAAGGCGGCACACACGGCTTGTCCGAGTGCTGCGAACGTGCCCTTCAGGTGATCTGAGTAGCTTCCAGTCATCTTCGTAGTGTTGGAACCAAACAGAAACGGCGGCCTCACGCTGAGGATCACTCCGGTGATGGCGAATGCGGTGAAGAGAACGTCCCAAAGGTTGTATTTTTCCTTGAGAAACATGCAAGCAAATAGAGACGTAAACACTGGACAGCTAAACGAGACCACCGTGGCATTGGCGAGGGACGTCGTATGGAAAGCGTAATATAAAAGGATCATGCCGGTAGAACCGAGGACTCCTCTGAGAACGAGGAAGATTCGTAGATCTTTAGGGCCTATAAACCCAGTTTTTCTGTATATTAAGCAAGGGATAATGACTAACATTTGGAACACACATCGGAATGCACTAATTTCTACAGGATGGAGGCCTTGCACTTTTTTAACAAGGAAAGAGGCCGCTGAGAAAAGGAAGGCAGACAATAACGCGTAAAACAGACCAAGTCCACGACAGGGTGCTGTCTTCTTGGCTTCCGGCTGCGCACGCGAACCGCATAGCGAGGAGCAGCATAGCGGGCACCAGCTGGGGCCCGGGGTTTCCACTGCCTCCACGGGCTCTTCCCTCGCGGCCACCGACTCTTCACTTGTGGACAGGGATGTGACAGCTGTGAGCGGAAGCCCCAGCGACTCTTCACTCATGGACAGGGATGTGACAGCTGTGAGTGGCAGCCCCGGCTCCCGCAGCAGGGCAACCCGGGTGCTGCCGAGGGGCTGCATTGCCCAACCCGTGCTCTCCCCGCGGCTGTTCCAGCGCCAGATGTTGGGGTCCAGCCCCAGCAGGTCCAGGGGTTCCCAAAGGTGTGGATGGAGTCGTGGAAGAAGGAATGACACGGAGGCAGTGTTCAGATGATCAGCAAAGCCAGGTTCTCTAGTCAGGTTCTCTAGCCAGGTTCTGTCTTTATTCTCCTGTTACATCTGTATTTATACCAGCTGATTTTAATCCTATCCATTTTATTCCAAAGGTTAGGGCGTTTCTTATTTCCATTCCAAGGTCACTACTCTACTGTTCTGTTAAGCTACAAGGAAGTAACTGAAGGAGATTAACCTAAGTAAAGATTATGTAGCTTAAGCGTGATTGTTCGTAGTTAAGGTGATTAACTACCTGCCTGGCACTTAGTTAAGGGGTTTACTGATTAATTCCCTTCCTTCGTCCTGTTAACCCCTAACTCCAGGGAAAAAATCCCCACCTGGGGAAACAACCTTTCTCGGAGAGGTGACCCTGGTTACAACACATAGCGCCAAGAAGGGGAGCAAACATATTAAGAACAGTATGCCATATACGCCAGGTCCCTTGAAACATATGCTATGCAGATGTTTCTTTCCTGCAGCGACTGTGTCAAGCAGCAAGGATGGACCGGCCTGCGGCACCCGATAGTTCAGAAGGATTTGGGGGCTATTCCTCTCCCTAACCCTCCCGAGAGGCAGAGCTGTTCACACACTCCTCATCCCACTGACAGGCGCGCCCTTACCCACATCGTGTCCTGGGGACTTTGGGGACCCACAGGCCTCAGCCTCAGCCTGGCCTGGCACTGCCCACAGCTGGGGCAAGCCAGCTTCCCTTCAGACCCAAGGCCACGCGCTGGAAAGGAAATGAAGGTGGGAGGGGCCCAGAAATGCTGACTCAGCTGAAAGGCTGCCTGGGAGGAAGGAAGCGAAGAAAGGCCTGGTCCAAGGCTGTGGGCAAAGCCTTCCTGGCGTCTCTGTGGATTCAGGGCCGCAGGGCCTTACCTTGGCCACCCAGCCTCGGCTTCTGGCCAGGAGGCTGGAGGCAGGGTTCTGACTGGGCCACACTGTAAGGGAGGGACTGACCCCGAGCCTGGCCCTGGCTGCCCAGACTATGGGCTTCTTCCCTCACCAGCAGCCAAGGCGGGTGGCTGTCCACATCTTAAACAAGCCGCTTCACTGGGAGTCCAGCCTAGGGAGCTGCACTTCTGAGACCGACATCAAAAAGTGAATAAAACAAAGAGAAACAAACAAAGCCTCTCTGCTTGTGTAGGAGGGCAGGAGCTCTTCAAGCTGATGAAACCCCGGCATCTCGGTTTAAGCTGCTGAGCTCCCTGCCATTGTGGTCTCTAGGGACAGGTGTCTTACACGCCTACACGCAACTCCACTCACTCTGCACGCTCCCCTGGTTGCAGTAATGGGACTGTAAGTTGTTCTCCGAGGCCAGGGTTTCCGTCTCAGCACTGATATTTCGGGCTGGTTGTGTGGAGGACCGTCCTGCGCACAGTAGGATGTTTAGCAGTAGCCCTGGCCTCCACCCAGCAGCACCCCCCCCACCCCCCAGTTGTGGTAAACAAAATATCTCCAGACATTACCAAATGTCCCCTGGAGGGCAACATGGCCTCTGGTGGAGAACCACTGCTCTAAATGCAACAAATAAAATGTCGCTCGGCCATGCTCGTGGTTTCAATCATCCACCCTCTAGATGCCCGTGACCTGCCGATTTTCCCAAGCCAAGTTCTGGAAATTCACCAGAACCCCCCACACAGTTGCTATCCCTTCCCAACCTGCCTTTCCCCTGGTCCTCCCCATCTCAGGCAAGGGCATCTCCATACCCCTAGCATCCTGGAAGTTGTCTCTGATTTCCCTTCCCCCGGCTCCATACTCTCACATCCACAAGACCCACAATCCCCCGTTCTGCTTCCTAAAAAAAACACTTTACTCCTCCACTCCACCGCCAAGGTCCCTGTCCCAGCTTAGGCCCTTACCACTCCACACCTGGTGCATAGCATCCACCTCCTAACTGGTCTCACTGCCTCCCGTCTCCACCCACAGCCTGCTCTGCCCTCCTTAAAGCCTCTCCTAAAGCCCCCTTTGTCCCCGCTGGCTGATCAATGATCGTCATCGCCACCCCCAGCCGCTGCCACCTCACCTCCCAGCCCCCCACCCTCCCTCAGCACCTCCTCCCACAGGATATGACACGAGGAATTTGTCACAGCTCCAGTAACACGCAGTTCTTCTTTTTTGGCGCATGCTATTCCCTCTGTCTCCAACGCCCTCCCAAATCCTCTGCTTGGCAAACCCTTACTCCTCCTTCAAGGCCCAGGCAAAGGTCACCTTCTCCACAAGGCCCTTGCCCGATTCCCCCAGCAAAGGCAGCCTGCTGGTCCCCGCTCTGTGCTGCTGTGGAACTGACCCTTCTAACTCAGGCTCATTGCAAGTTCAGGGGTCTGTTTCCCTGATAGCTGGTGGGCAGCTGCCAGTTGGGAAGGGATCCCATTTTATTGTCCCTGAGACCCACACACAGTACCTAAGGTAATGGTGGCGCAGAGTAGGTGCCCAGCACACAGTATTGGTACGCATTTACTAAGCCTCTTCTATGTGCCAGGCCCTGAGCTAGATGCTTTACCTAAATTATCTCATGTTATCTTCAAAGTCACCCTGCCCTGGGGAGACACGCGGGAATTTGGAGAGGATGCGCAGCTTGTGCACAGCAGGGTCAGAGACTGGTTGTCCATCGGCCACGCTTGGTTCTCCCTTGGGAACTGGCCTCACCTCACTCCCCAGATGTGATCTCCAGGGAACCACCAATCCCCAGAGTTAACCTGACCTGCGTGTGGAACAGCCCTTGTCCTTTTATTCAGCTAACAAGTTGGAATTTTATTTTTAATTGATGTTTCCTTTTTTAAAAATTTGTTATTGATTTCAGAGAGGAAGGGAGGAGAGAGAGAGAGAAACATCAATGATGAGGGAGCATCATTGATCAGCTGCCTCCTGCACGCCCCACATTGTGGGGATAGAGCCCGCAACCTGGGCCTGTGCCCTAAACAGGATTCGAACCGTGACTCCTGGTTCATGTGTTGACACGCAAACACTGAGCCATGCCGGCCAGGCAAGTTGGGATTTCTTAAAAAGAAACTTTTAATAGGAAACCAAGGAAAAGCCCCCCAAACTTATTTATACATGTATAATTTATATATAACTTGTGTTATATATATATATATGTATATATATATAATTTGTATATATAACATATATATGTAATGTTTTTCAATTTTACAATACAGATGGGCAAGTTCGCATCTTCCCTTGAGCTGTTACTTCCTCCTCTCTGAATCCTGGAGGAATTAGATGGGCTTAAAGAGCCTTATCAGTGCTGATATCCTGTGAGCCCATGATTAGTTTCTCAGATGGAGAGTGGGTTGGTGAATTTTGTTGGTGGTGGCAGTTTACTAGGGACACTGCAATGGGAGGAGGAGGATAAGGTAACAGAGCAATCGACAGCCCCACCCATGCCTCCATCCCTTTATGATTTGACCCTAGATGTCCAAAGGGAGAGGGGGACTTGTCTAAGAGCCTCCTCCCGCCTCCTCATCGGGCCCTTAGATGGTCTGAGGGCGGGCTGGAGCTAGATAGGCTACAGCTCGGCGTCCAGACTGTGTGTTTCCTGCTGGAAGGGTCCGGTCCCCTCTCCAGGCCTCGGTTTCGGCATCGTCCCTTCTTCGCCTGCTCTGGCCTCCCAGGCTCTGGCTCCTCCTCCCCTCTATTAGTGAGACCCACTGGAAAACCCCGATCTGCACAGCACAGACACAGGAAGGGGAGAGGGGAGGCTCATGGGCGAGTTCCTGTGGACGCGCAAGTGCTCAGCTGTAGCCTTTGGAGCCTGTCATTTCCCTTCCCCGCCCACCCAGCTGGGCTGCAGAGAAGTTTCATCATAGCTCAGTTGTTGTCCTTATAAGGGAAGGGCCTCCAGAGCCTCGCTCTTGGGCCACAGCTGGCTGGTAGAGAGCCAGGCCAGCCTCGGGGGATCCTCCAGGCGCCAGGAGAGGTGGGGCTCCCCCAAGCCTGCCAGACGTCACCTGAGCTGAGTGTCCATCTGACCGTGGACCGTAACTGCCCACAGGACTTCGGGTGACAGACTCTCCAGAGAAGAAGCAGAAAGCAGTTGATGGTGGCCCCAGGCCAGCACCCTAGTGGGGCAAGTCTCAGGTCCCAATACTAACTTGTGGTCTCCTGGGCAAACTGTTTAAGCCTTAGTCTCCTAGCCTGTAAATGGAGTGAACATAAATACATCTTCCTCGTGAGGCCACATGGTGACAATGAGAGACCAACATATGCCTGCCAAATAGAAGGTGCTCTGTGGGGCCAGGCTGCTGGGGTTTATTAAACATTTCCTATGAGGTAGGCCATGGGCTAAGAGCAACCCTGTGAAGAAAGGAGAATTAGCCCATTTTACAGACAGGAAAAACTGAGGCACAGTTTGCCTAAGGTAACTCATTCATGGCTGGGGCTTGAATCTAGATGTGTCTGCCTCCAAATCTAAAATCATGGTTTTTCTACTTATACCCAGCTATTTCCTCCAGAAATGTTGTCCCTTTAATAAAATTATGAGAACAGGGAAGAATTCCCACCATTACCTCTCTATCATCTACATTCCCCCACAGACCCTCCTCATAACACAGAGAAACCTCCATTGCGTGAGTTTAGGTGGCCTTTTTGGACAACCGGGTCTCATGTCTCATGCAGTGAGGAGAGGCCAGAAGACAGGACTTGGAGGAGGACACAAAACATGGTGGTTCCAGAAAGACACAGGGAGCTTCCAAGTCCCAGGCTCAAGTAGGGACAGAGAGGGGCAATCAGGGTGCCCCCTCCCCACCAGCCCCTGCTCAGCCTGGGGTCCTGTCTGAAGGTGGCCACCTTGTGATTTGCAGAACGGTGGACCGTAACTGCCCACAGGACTTCGGGCCACTGAGATAACACAGCATGTGTTCAAAAGGAAGACCTTCCCCGCACAGGCCCCCAGGATGAGAGGGAAAGCAAGTTTTCACCACATCCTTTCTCGCCCTGTGGCTGACCACTGACACCTTCCCGGCAGCTGTCCCCTTTAAGGTGGTTCGCCAGAGGGGCCTTCTTTCTGGGCCAGGGTGAGAGGAACATCCCCATCACTAAAGGGACTCCTCTCCCTCACCTGGGTTCCTCCTCACAGATAAGGGGCCATGAAAGTGAAGTGATTTGCTTGGGCGTCTCCCAGCTCCTGCAGGCCACTCGCTCAGTATGGCTGTCACGTCAGGCCAGTGGCAGGGAATTCAGGAGGGACACGGGGGGCAGAGCTATAGGCGACAGGTCCGGATCAGGTGCTTCCTGTTATGTTGGCCACCGGGACTGCCCAGCAGCCCTCAGAGGAGCAAGGGAGGCAGCCTTTGGGGAGCACAGTGGTGCTTTCCCACACAGGGGAGTGGGGAGCATTGCCATTGCCCTTTCGGGGGTAAGGAAACTGAGACCCCCCTGAGTCAGACTCACCAAAATCCCTGGGAAGAACATGAACTTTAGCAGCTTGACTTGGAGCCAAAGAACACTCAGTGAAGTCCTGGGGTCCTGCTGAGATGTATTAGGGGTACCATTGGCATAAGGTGGGGCCCAGGCTCACCCCTAACCACAACGAGGTTCTGAGTTAAAATAACAGTTGGAATCATTTTGAACCATCATAGGAAACACCTGTGCAAACAAGCATTCTCGATGGAGGCTAAATCTACGGGGTATACTAGTATCTGATGAGATGCAACATATTTAAATGTCTCCCAGATTGTTTATTAGTTACAAGAGAACAGCTATAACTCTCCAGTAGAGAAATCAGACACCTTGACCAGGTGATCAAAATTAACATCATCAATGAAGGGCCGAAGGATGCATGTGTCTCAGATGTGATGCCCTGAGAAGGACTTAGGAGCACCTGTGCAGTTTTCTGAACCCATACCCTCAATCTAATTATGAGGAAACGCAGACAAACCCCAAGTGAGGAATGTTCTATTGAAAAGGGAGGTGGGGGCCTGACCGGGTGGCTCAGTTGAGTGGAGTGTCCTTCGTACACCAAAAGATTGCAGGTTCGATTCCCAGTCAGGGCACACATGGGGAGGCAACCAATGGATGTTTCTCTCCATCAGTGTTTCTCTCTCTCTCTCTTTCTTCCTTGCTCTAAAATCATAAAAAGCATATCCTCTGGTGAGGATTAAAAAAAATAAGGGGAGGGACTGTGTCCTTCAAAAATGTCCATGTCATGAAAGATAAAAGCTGTGTTGCCGAAACCGGTTTGGCTCGGTGGATAGAGCGTCGGCCTGCGGACTGAAAGGTCCCAGGTTCGATTCCGGTCAAGGGCATGTACGTTGGTTGCGGGCACATCCCTAGTGGGGGATGTGCAGGAGGCAGCTGATCGATGTTTCTCTGTCATCGATGTTTCTAACTCTCTATCTCTCTCCCTTTCTCTCTGTAAAAAATCAATAAAATATATTTAAAAAAAAAAAAAAGCTGTGGAAACATTTCAGATTAAGGGGGACTAAAGAGACATGTATGCAATAGCAATATCCAACCCTACCCTAGAGGAAAAGTATGATAAAGGACATTATTTGGTCATATGACAAAATTGTAATATGAATAGTAGCTATCATACTGGCGTTGAGTTTTCTGAAATTGTTAACTATACTATGGTTACATAAGAGAATACACTTATTTTTAGGAAATACACACTGAAGTATTCAGGGGTAAGGGACCATGATAAGTCTCCAATGATTCAGAAAAAAATTGTGTGTACATATGTTAAAGAGTGAAAGGCTCAAAAAATAAACCAATGAGTCCATCAGGGTATGAGTGTAATCGTGTTCTATGTGCTATTCTTACTCTTGCAACCTTTCTGTTTGAAATGTCCACATAAAGCTTTTAAAAATTGAAAAGCATTGTTCCTATGACAGCCCCAGCCTGTATAAATGTGTGGTGACATAGCAAAGGGGGAGCACGGTGGAGGGCGATGTCCCCGCCCACCTATGGGAAGGATGCCCTAGCATGGGGTTCAGAGGACCGGTGAGGCCACCGACCAACCTCCTACCCCTGCCTCCTTGAGGTCAGCCCTGGAGCTGGTCCCACACCAACAAACAGGCTTGCGGCAGAAAAGTTCCATAAAAAGGGATTTATTGCCGAACTTCAAGAAAGGCGCTTCATAAGCAGAAGACATGGAATGCCACCCTCCTTCCGGAGGCAGGCAAGGCAGCCCCTGCCAATTTCCCATCCTCCCTCCCCTGGAAGCAGCCTCCCCCCTTGGGGCCCAGGCTGCCCAGGTCTGGGGACCCTGCAGGAGCCAATGGCATTAGGCCGCTAAGGTTGCCCCAGAGCTCCTCCCTCAGCCTGGCCACTTATCAGAGGGGAAATGGGGGCTCTTGTCCCTGAAAGCAGGTGATGGGCTAAAGCCCCGCAGCCCTCACAAGAGGGCTGTTCCCCAAAGCAAGACCACAGGGGCCACATGCTTGTGGGTACTTGATGGTGTTCTTGCTCTCACACTGCAGAGGGATGGACAGGCAGAATGTGGCCGGGAAGCCTAGTTTTTCCAAAGAGTGTGGTTTGGGGAGATCCATGGGGGCTCATGAGCCACGGCATTGCTGCTCACACCCATGCCTGCCCAGTACAGGCTACAGAGTGGACCTCTATCGGCCCCTCCTGACCCCTGGCTACTACCCTCAAAAACAGGTAGAAGTACAGTAAAGAAGGCATCGGCCTGCACTGGCAGGCCTCAGTGGGCACTACTGGTGGCAGGGGGCGGGCGGTGGGCAGAAAGGCCAGAGTACACAGCTGTGGCCCTCCCTCTCCTCTCTTTCAGTAAACAAAAGTGCACATGCAGAACCCCCTGAGCAAGCCTGTCAGGAGCTGCTCCCGCTCCCACAAGCCCCAGGGAGAGTGGCTGCAGCCCTCAGGGCCTCTGCACCTACAGGCTCTGCCCTCAGTCCAGCTGCTACAGCAGGATGGAGAGCAGATGTGCTCCTGGAGTCAGGGAGGGGCTCGGGAGAGGCCCCGGGTGCTGGCCCAGGCCAGGAGAAAAGGCTCCTTCCACTAGAAGCTCAGGAAGCGCAGCCCATCCGGGGCCTGAGCCAGAGGGGTGAGCGGAGGTGGGGAGAAGTTGTGGTTTCAGGCCCCAACATACCCCTCAGCGTAAGAATAAATGACTGGGATATTGGACCTGTTTGGTTGTGGAGGAACCACAGAGACCCAGATATAAATCCCATCTGGGGAGGCACAGAAGTTGGGGCAGCTTCTCTCCTGAAGGCTGATTTAGAATGAATCGCACACGGGATTTTCTGACGATGACGTCGGGCCGTTCTGAAGTTCACCTGTAGAGGAATGCGTGGGGCTGGAAACAAGCTGGTCCAGAGGCAGGGACTAGAGTAGGAGACCTTTCGGGTTCCTCCTCCACCCTGGAGTCCTCCTGCCACACTCACCAGGGGAGGCCTGCAGAACAGGAAGGCCCAGAGAGGGGCCACACAGCAAATGGCTTTCTCACACCTGCCTCTGACCTGCCTTCAGGGGCTTTCAGCTGAGGGATGAACCTACAGCCTGGACCCAAGGCCTCAGCAGCTACTGGGAATAGGCGGGCAGGAGGGTTGGTTACAACTTGAAGCTGCCTTTGCCAGGAGGCTGTCCGCCTGGGAGTATCTGGACATAGAGGCTGTGGGGGGCTCAGCTGTGCTCTATTCAGAAGTCAGGAATGTAAACTACGGGGGGTGAGAAGCAGAGATGATGCCACTCCCAGAGCCCCGAGTGCTGTGCCAAAGCCCTGGGGCAGATTGGAACAACCATGCAAGCACAGAGGTCCTGAGTGTGTGCTCCCAGCCCGAGCGAGGGCCCAGAAGCCAGGCCAGTTAGCCAGACAGTGGCCCTGGGTGACACCTGCACCGCTGGCCAAGGCCAGGCAGGAAGGATACCAGGAGCCTCTGCAGGTCCTGGCCAAACACTGACATGTCCGATGGCCCTTCAACAGCCTGAGCGGAAGCACATTTCTTGGCAGGGCTGGGCTCGATGAACCAGGCCAGCCAGGCGGGACGGTGCCCCGGCCTGGCAGGCCCTAGGGTGCACTTCTCCTGTAGAGGGTCACCAGCTCCTTCCGCTTTTCCCGCAGCCCCGGTGCTTCCTGGCTTAGGTCTCCCAGATCTCGGATTTCCTGCAGGACCTGGGTGGCCTGCCTCAGCTGCTCCACAGCCTCGCTGAGCAGTGTCTCGGCACTCACCGGGGCCGGCTCGCTGGCCAGCATCTTGTTCAACAGTTTCTCCGTCTGTTCTGAGGCCACCTGCACCTCCAGCTGGGCCCGGTACAGCCGCTGCTGTGGACGCCGGGGGCCTTCCCCAAGCAGGTCCCCCATGGAGGAGCGGCGGGGTTGGCTCTGAGGCGGCAGTTCCCAGGGGAACACGGTAGAAGCGGTTTTGTTCTCCGGGGGAATTCCTGGAGTGCCAGCAGCCTGGGATGGCTCCACAGGCTCAGGACTGTCATCCACGCCGTTCACTGAGACCTGCGCTGAGCCTGGGGCAGAGGTCTCAGAGGCCCCAGGACTCCGGGCTGGCCCGGAAGCCTCCACCCCAATCATGGAGGCTCTCAGTTTCTCCGATAGGATCTTGGGTGGGGGCGTCGGGGGCTTCCCACCCTCCTTGGTCGAAGCCTCGGAAGTCTCAGAACAGGGCACCTGGGGTGGTTCCGCACTCTCAGGCACAGGGGGCTCCTCGGGGCTGGAGTTGTCCCAGCTCACCTTCAGTTTTTCAGGCAGGACCCTGGGGAGCTGCTCAGAGGAGCTGTCCTCCCCCACTACAGTCTCTGAGTCTTCCTGGCTCTCAGGCTGCGCCTCAGAGCTTGCTGAGACAGGGGTTGGGGCTCTCTCCCCCACAGGGGTCTCCCCTCTGTCACCAAGGGCGGTCACCTCGGGAGCTGGGGAAGGCTTGGCAGGAGGCATGAGGGGCCGGAGGGCCTCCCGGGGCGGGGCTGCGTTGACGTCATTGCCGGGGGTAAGCACTGGCGGCCTGCTGTCCAGAGCATCGAGGTCCAGGCGAGAAAGCCCATCAGAAGCTGCGCTGGCTACCTGGTGGGGGCAGCATATGGACATCATCATGGACGAATGGCCTTTGGTCTGATGTGCCTGCCCACAAGGGTCCTAAAGCCCCCCCCTCCAGGCTGCCCAGGTCCCCAGGCCCCTCTCCACGCCCTCTGATGAATCCTCTGCTCTCTCACTTGGAGAATTCCCTGTGTCAGAATCACAGGCCAGAGGTCAGAGCCAGGCTGTCCTCTCGGTGCCCCGGCCGGCTTCTTCCAGCCAAGGAAAGAGGCCGCTCTTTTTAGTAGCGGTTGTCCTGGCCTGGGCAGCCGGGCACATGGTTCCAGCCCTGTTTCTGACCCTTCCTGGCTGTATGGCCTTGAGAGGGTTCCCTCTCTGCACCCACCCACTCCGTAGGTGTCAGGACCAGGACTCAATATAAGTCTCCAGCATAGTGTGCGCTCACTCCCTTCTGCTTCCCCTCCCTGGAGACCTCTGTCCAGGCTGCCAGCCCCACACCCAGCCCTCTGGCCCAGATCTCTCCAGCCCTCGCCTGCCCAGCTGCTCAGCAGCTTGTGCCCACTCTCCTCACATGGTCAGATGTGGCCCCAGGCACAGGCAGCCCTGGACCACAGCTGACTGCCAGAGGGGAACAGCTGCACCAAGCAGACAGCTGCCACCAACTTGGCCCAGGGCTCTGCAGGGACACCCAGCAGCCACACCTGGTCCTGGGGACCTTCCCAGGGAGCCCCAGGGCCTGAGAGCAGGGCTGGGCAGCAGGCCCCTCCCTGGTCCCTCAGATGGTGGGGTCCTGGCGGGGACCCTCACTCCCCTTTACACGCACACAGGTGAACTGGCGACACACACGTTCAGTCACTGGGATGAGAGTCCCTCCCTGAACCGGCTGGCCCTCCCCGCACCTCCTAGATCTCCCCCCTCAGGTATGCCTTGCCCCTCTGGTTACTTCAGTCCTTCCCTCTGCAGCTTTCCCCTCAGCTGACAGACATGAACAGGCTGCCTCACCTCAAAGCAAACTCTCTGACGACCTTGGCCCCCTCCCTTCCCCCTCTGTCTTCCTCTGGTCTCCCACTCCAGCACCCTTAGCTCTGCACCCCATGACAGTGCCAAGCTGACCCCCCTGAGAGAATATGCTGTAAGCATTACCACCTGCCTGTCTCTCACCTTTCCCTTGTGCCTTGTGGCTGCCAACCTGGCTGATGACCTAGGGCCCTATGCCCTTCTCCCCCTGGATGTGCCACTCGCCTCCTGGCCTCCTCTTCCTTGGCTCTTTACTGCCCCTCAGTCCCCAAATGTGGCATGTGCTGAGGTTCTTTCCTGACCTCCACGGTCTCTACCACCCCACCATGCACCCCATCAGCAACAACGATCTGAAAGGGGCTCCTCAGTCACCCCTCCCTTTGTCCATATCTTCTCCCGAATTCCCTGTGCCCAGGGCCTCTAAACTGCCCAGCCTCCAGGCGTGGAGACTCCTCTGACAACCCTCCTTCTCTGTCTAGTGCACCTCCCCCAGCCTGCAGTCAATCACAAGCCGGGGGTACTCTTGCTTCTCAGTCTCTCTCCCACTGGCCCCTCCCTTTTCAACCCCTCTGGGATCCTGGAGCCCCCACTGCTCCTCTCCCTCCTGGTCCCCTACCTTTCCTTCCCTCCATCCAAACCCCTGCTACCCTGGGCCTCAAACTGACCTCTGGAACACACCCTCCCACCATCCTGTCCTCAGTTCCGGCATTCAAGGTCTTCCCAATTTCCTCCCCCGACCCCACCTTCCCTGAAAGATCTCCCAAAGGGACTTGGCACACTTTGCACACTCCTGCCTCCTGCCTCAGCTCACACCATTCCCTCCACCGGCACCTCCCTCACACCACATTTGCCAATTGAAATCCTCTCCGCCCTTCCAGGGCTGCTCAATGCCAGGGGGTCCTCTGTGCAAAAACTAGACACAGCTCTGCTTGCATGTCTTTCTCCAGCTGGGAGCTGAGCTCTGAGAGGCACAGACCACTTTGGGTCTGTCTCCCTGAGGCACCAACTCTGGCTGAGGCCGGTGTGTGGACTCACAGTGCAGTAGGCACACTTACATGCTGAGCACGGCTAACACATGTGCCTGCACTCAGACCCCGCACACCGCTCAGGAGGCCCCAGCGCCAGGCGTCCTCAGGAAAAAGGGGGCCCGAGCCTGGCTGCCATCCTAAGGAGCTGGGTCCCGGGCTCAGCTGACCTCCCATCTGTCCAAGCTGGGGGCAAAGTCTTACCTCCTTCAGGTGGATTCTCGTAGGTGGCCGGCGCTGCTGGCCCCCACGCACTCGGTTCCGGGTCACATGCTCCAGCGCACAGCTCTTGTCCACCTTTATCTGGGAAGGAGAAGGAACCAGGTCAGTCCCCACCAAGCCTTGGGGAGAGAAGGAAATGCCCAGGTGTTAACTCAAAGTCAGAGCCTGGACCCACATCCTCACTCACAGGGTCAGAGCCCCATCGCTGCCTCTCTTTGAAGCATCTCCCCATGTCCAACCTCTGCTCTCTGTTTCTGCACTGCCTCTGTCATCTCACTGCAGGCCGAGGCTCTCCCTCTGTGGCTGCCCTCTCTGGGCTCAGTCTTCCTGCCCCAATATGGGCTCTCAGCCCTTGCCCCTCGGTCTACTGCAGATATGTAAGTGGCCCCCGAGGCTGCATTTGGGCTTAGCTGGGGACGGCGAGGAGTTAGCCCATGATACCCTGGTGTCTGCTTCCAGAACAGGCCTTCCCTGGCCCCAGCTGCTCCCCAAGGACCCTTGGGTCCGAGCATCCAGAGGCAGCATCTCCTCTCTGAGGGTAAGGAAAAGGGTGAGGACTAGCCCAGGAAGACACAGAGTAAGATCCACACAGGAAATCTAGACTCTGAACCCGGAGCAGCCTGTCCCTTTGGTGGGGGGGGGTGGGGGTGGGGGCTGAAACTGTCCAGCCCCCAGGTGAGGCTCAGGGCTCAGGCCACCTGGGGGTCCAACTGCCTCTGTTCCTCAGAGGAGGAGCTGACCCCATTCCACCCAGACTTTGGGCTGAGGCCCAGTCCACGCTCCCATCGCCCGCCCCACAAAAGGGGAATATTTTCCCAGCCAGTGAAGCACCGAGCATGCCGGTCACACTGAGACATGAACTAGGAGCCTTGGGAAAATTTGCCCCCTCGGGTCTCAGACCTCTGCAATCCCAGGGCCACCCCAGGCAGCCTCCAGGACCATTTTAGCCCAAATAGCTACAAACCCACGCTGTCAAAGATGACCCTCCCTAGGAGATCTGGTCTTGGGGGACACCTTGCCTGTCCCAAGCCTGGCTGTGGCCACTGTGGCCACCGTCACCACTACAGCACAGGGGGTAGGTGGCCACTGCAGGCAGATAGGGAGGCCCAGGGCTAGAGCCAGCCTGGCTTCCACTTCATGGCCAAACTGAAAAGTGAGCTTTTTGGCTTTCAGCTCACCCCCCAAACCTCTCTGGCTGGGCCCACCTGCTGTTGGGCTACAAGCCTTTAAATTCTACCCCACCACTTCCCCATGTTTTCATTTTAACAAGTAACTTAATTTCCTTACACCTCAGTTTCTTCATCTGTAAAGTGGGAATGCCACCATCTACTTTGAGGGGTGTTGTGAGGATTAAATGAGGTAACAATAGCATGGCCCAGTTTGTAGCAACGACATAATCAAGGGGTCGTCTGAGGTGAGGCTGGGCAGTGTCCCTGAGCTTACAGGGGTGAAGGGGACACAGAGCTGTCTGTCCACAGGACTTCATCGCACCTCATCGAAAGCCTTGTTCTTGCCTCGGCTGATCCCTTCATTGAGGGCTTTGATCCAGGATTCCTTCTCCTCCCCATTGGGTGCTTGGAACTTGATGTTGTTGACCTGCAGGGGGCATGGGTGGGGTAGATGGCAGATGTTAAACCTGGCTCACATTTGGGGTCTGAAGGAAGCTCCCACCCCAAATTCAAGGTGGGCCGTGCACAGCTGGCTGGGAGCAAACCACAACGACCCCACCCTGGGGCTTCAGGGGAACGGGGTGGACAGGTCCAGCTGAGCAAGGGCTCTCCCCTGGTGCAGCTGTCAGACTTAGAATGGAGTCAGCCTTGCCCTGGGGAGGGAGCTCAGGTCTGGCCCCTGCCAGCTGCTGACCTCTGGGCTTGTTTTCTCTGAAGTAGGAATAGTCCCAGTCTCCTGGGACTGAGGTGACAGGTGACAAGCATGAGGGTGTCCATGGAGAAGGCCCACTAGAACCAAAATCACCAGTGGGCCCCACAACAGTCCTGGCCACAGATAACAAAGTCCCAGGGTCTCCTTTCTGGCCTTGAATCATAGACGGTAAGAAAGGGCACTGGGGTCCTTCCCAATCTCCTCATTCTACAGATGGGGAAACAGAGGCTCACCAGATGGGAGGGGATTTGACCACGGCGGCCTAAAGTAATCCCATGACTCCTGACTCCAGACCCTACGCCACCCACCCCACAGGTCCCTCTCCATCTCGGGCAGGAGCTCCAAGCTCCTATATTAGAATCAGAGGGCAGCTCAGAGAGCCCCCTGCCCCCCGTCTGCCAGGCCCCAAGGCCAGACAGAAAATGATGGAAGGAGCGAGGCCATGCAAACTGAGGGGCTGCTTTACATGGTGGACACAGCAGTGGGGTCTCTGAACTAGACAAACCACCCCTTACAGCTGGCTGACCTGGAGCCTCAGCTTCCTTGTCTGTAAAAGGAGACCACCACCCTGACCTGCCGATGGCGCTGTGAGGGGCACAGACATGTGAAGTGTTAAATCTGGAGTTGGGCATAGAGTGCTCAGTAGCAGAAATTATCACCATGGCCTTCCTTCTGGACAAAACATCCCCAGTTTTCTCACCTGGAAAAAATGCTGAGGGAATTCAACCTGACTCAAGCCAGGGCCCGGCACACAGTAGGTACTCAGTAAATAGTTACTGAATGAATGAGCCAATAAACGAATGAACTAGCCCAAGGTTCCTTCCCCTACCCCATTGTTGGGCCATTGCCCACTCTCTGACCTCAAGATGCCCTACTTCTTTGTTGGGCGGGTCGCCAGCCTGCCCATCCCCCCGCCCTGGTGTTAGCGCCTTCCTTCCCACCACTCTCCCAGTTATGTAACACCAAAGTCCCCCTGGCCCCTCAGCATCCTCATTATATAACTTCCTCCTGGCTGCCTCCCGCTTCTCTTCATACCAGGCCCCGGGTCCCACCCGCCCCCCCATGCCAAGCACAGCCAATTGCTCATTTGCATGACCAGGGTAAATTCGATCCTGGCAGCAGATCTGCAGTTAAGTCAGAAACCCTAGGGCACCTTGGCAACTGCCTCTTAGCCCAGCCATCAGGACTGCTGGGAGCTCAGGGAGGAACAGCATTGCATCCAGGCTCTGCGAGGGCCCACCCAGCCCTGGGATGGGGCTGTGAAAAGGTGGACCAGGGCCAGTGCCTCTGAGCCAGCTGCTGTTCCTGCTCGCAGGCCCTGATTGGTGGGCCCGTGCCTGGTGCAGAACTTAACATCCCAGAGAGCTTGGGAGGCATGTACTTGAATACAGCAGTAAATGCAGCAAGAGTGGGGCGAAAAAGACCACTGGCCTGGGAGTCGAGATCAGAGTTCTGGTCTCACCAACCTGCAATGGCACCCTGCACAAGTCTTTTCACTTCGGGACAAGTGCAGAACCACTGAACCCAACCCAAACTATGGCCTTCCTGTTGGCCAGCTCCCTGAGGCAGGCTGCAGGGAGGAGGGTATAGGCCAAAGGGCCACCCCAGGAGAAGGAATACAAGGTGAAACGGGACCCAGCCCCACCCTCAGGAACCCTGTGATTCTGCTGAATGAGCCAGGCATCCCACAGGGTGATCAGAACCGGGATAAGCAGAATACCAAGGAGCTGCTCCTCCTCCCCCACCCCCAACCCCACCCCCATGTCCTGAGGAGCCACAGGCTACACAGGTTTCCACCCAAGTTCTCCAGCCAAGAAGCCCCAGGAGAAAGGACTTTAGGAGCTAACAAGTCTGGCCACAGCATAGACCCACACTGGCCTGGGAAGGCGGGGCGGGGGGGGGGGGGGGGGGACAAAATGGCAGAGGGGCAGAAAGTGGGAGGGGAGGGGAGACAGGAAAAGGAAAGGGCCAAGCTGGCTGGGACCAGCAGGCAGCAAGGCCCGGCAGGGCCACCCCGCTTCCTGGCAGCGTCTGTCTGTGACCTCATGGCAGGGGCGTGGGGATGGGGAGACGGGGGAGAGGGGCATGCAAGACACTGGAGTCTTTGTTTATTTGATTAGAAGGAAAAACAGGCGGCCTCAGGACCAGACAGCCGGGGTCATGTGACCTCCCAGCCAGAGGGCAGCGTCACTGAGGATGGGGAACACCCAGGGCGATAGGAAAGGAGGGTGAGAGGATGAGGGGGATGTGGTACTCTGGGTGGTCCCCCGTGTGCCCTCTGGAGAGCTCCCACTCTCTGTGTGAGCTCCTAGGGTGGCGAGGGTCAGAGGCCCCTTGAGTTGGAAGCAGGGTGTACTGTCCTCCCACTGCTCTGCAGCCCCCACCCGTTGCTCCATAGCGCACTCCCTACGATCACCCTGTTCCCAGAGTCACCCTGAGCCAACCTGAACTCTGAAGAATTGGGGAATGGAAGGGAGGTGTTGGCCGAAGCAGGTGAGAAGGTAGATACACAAACAGGCTTCTCCGAAGGTGATGTCCCACCCTGCACTGGGCCTGGCCCACCTATCCCACCACCAGCTGATCCTCAGAACAGGAGAAAGGAGGGGCCCAGGACTGGCAGAGGACAGAAGCCAGGTCCCCTCCACTCCACGTCCACATACACTCACTAAGAGACACCCAAAGACCCAAACAGACCGTGGCCAGGTGAACACAAAGAGATGCACCCACGTGCACTGTACACACAGGTGCAGACCTTAACACATAATGAACTCCATGTCTCTCAAAACACACAGACACAAATACAGTGCCCACCAGAGAGAAAGCAGGCCTCCCCAGCAGGATAAGGGGTCCTGGCCCAAGAGACCAAAATATGGTTCTCCTCTTCTCACAGAGCCCTAAGTAGCAGATACCACGTGAAACCTGGGCCCAGCCCCATGAACCCTCATGACACTATAAACCTGCCCCCCGCCCCCGTGGGCACACCCCCAATCCCAGAGTCAGAGCCCTGCCTACAGTTGCTGCTTTGCCCTCACCCAGGCAGAGCAGGGCCAAGGATTAGCGAGGAGAACAGCATGGCCTCCAAGGCCCAGAGCCACCGAGGACTGGGCTCCTGGCCTGAAAGCTGGGGAAGAAACAGAATGGCCTCCAGCAGGCCCAGACCAGACCCGCTCCCCAACCCCCCGCATGGGTGACTCAGCCCCACTCTGGGAGGCTCCACATGACGTGCAGAGGTCGGGAGAGGCGTGACCCAGTGCAGAGGGGGAGAGCTGGCCAGAGGTACTGTACACGCCAGCCTCAATCTGACTCCCTCCTGACATGTGTGAAACTACGCCAGCGTCACTCACCCGGACTGCGTGCCAGAGACATGCGGTGCAAACAGCAACCTCATCTGTACACACAGCATGTCCCAGGGGGAGAACCTCTTGGGCAGGAGACTTTCTCCAGCATTAGCCAGAGGAACGTGCAAGGGAGGGCAGCTGGGAGGCTGCATGTCTCCACGGCCTGAGTCCAGGATGGAGGGCCCACCCAGGAAGCCAGGGATAAAGGGGAGGCCGCTCCTTCCCCTCTGGCCCAGACTGTGTCACAGTGTCAGAGGTCTGGTGGGATGAAGGCCTCATCCTCAGCTTTCCTGCCTCAGCCCTGGGCCTCCTGTGTCCAGGGTGTGGGAGAAAGCCAAGTGCCCCACCTCCCAAAGGCTACTTTCCAACCGCAGCCTGGGAGGAGGCCCCAGGGCCTGGAAGGGAAGAGGGGAGCAGAGCTCTCAGCAGAGCTCTACACGCATCTCCTATCAACCAGGGGCTGGGAAGACTCCAGGACGAAACGCGCAAAAGGTCCCACCTGTGGCAGCCCCAGATCTGAGCCTCAGGCACACTCCACAGAGATTGTGCGGGCTGCATCCGGGGGCCCAGCCTGTCTTAGAAAGCCTCCAGGGATGATCTTCCCAAGCAGACCCCAGCCTGGAGGAGGGTCAGGCCCAGCAGGCACAGCCCTACCTTGTTCCCTGGGGATCGCAGCAGGATAAATCGGTGTTTCCGCTTGAGGAGGGCACGCAGGTCCTGGCACTTCTCATAGCTGCCCAGCTCCACTGTCTCCACACATTTCTGCTCGTCCTGTGGAGGGATAGAGGGGACATGAAATGGTGAGAGCAGGACACACCCAGACTCTCAGACACCCAGGTCCCGCCTCGGACCCGCCTGCCAATCAATCACCAAGATGAGATATTCAGTCCCCGGCATTCAGTCTGTGCTGGCTGCAGGAACACGCTCAAGGCTCACAATGCACGTGATAGATAGGGCTCACCCTCCGGAGATGGGGAACAGGGCTGACCCGAATGTTCCTAAGGCAGGAGGAGGAAACCCGGGAAGCTGGAGAGGCTTAGAAAGGGTACCTGGGGGTCCCCGCAGGCCCAGAGACCAGGCAGAGATGTGCAGAATTGTAGCCTGGAAGAGGGAGCAAGCTGTCACAAAATGAAAAAAGAAAAGAAAAAGGCGTTCCAGGCAGAGCCACAGAGGGAAGCGTGAACAAGGCATGCTTGGGGCGACATCCCTGCCTTCACCACAGTGACCTGAGTTGATTCTCTACTGGCATCTTCCTCTGCTGGGGGAGAGGCCACTCTCCATGGCCTGCACAGTGGAGAGCGCAATGGCTCCTTTAAGAGCACCCCAACCCAGGCTGTCATCCTGAGGCCCCATCACTAGAAGGGCCAGTGGCCAGGACAGTGGTCAGCCTCCTCTAGCCCATTCCTGGACACCAGCGAGACTCCTTTCTTGCCCACCAGGCCTGGCACCTGAGTGTTTCCTCCACCAGGTGCCTCTCAGCAAGCTGCCGGGGCAACCTCCTCCCTCAATGGTGATCAATTGGTTGCTATTCCAGAAGCCTTAGCTGGAGCAACTTCCTGGATGTGGCACAGTCTCACCCTGGAGACTCCAGGGAAAGAGAAGCAGGCCCTGGATCAGCGGGGGTAGAGGAGGCACTGGCCTGGGAACTGGCCAAGTGAAGCTGCTGCTGGACGTCACACAGCCAGCAAGAGCACCCGCCCGGGACTTCTCCGTGCTCTGCAGTTTGGGGGGAATATCTGGGAAGCAGTGATTCAAATATCTGCAGAGGAAATGGCCTCATTTCCCTCCATGAACCTGCCTATACTGTTTCCCAGGGTTCCACATCCACACATTCCACCAACCTCGAATCAGAAACATTTGTGGGGAGAAAGTTACATTGTTGCCGACATGTACTATGAAGTTAGGCCTACGTGGTTGCTTCTTGACTGAACATGTACAGACATTTCTTTATAGCCATTATACCCTAAACAACTAATTACACAGTATTTACATTGCATTGGGTATTATAAGTAGCTAGAGATCATTTAAAGTATATGACAGGATGTGTGTAGGTTATATCCAAACACTATAAGATGGAAATCTTATATAGAGGACTTGAGCACCCATGGATTTTGGTATCCACGAGGGTCCTAGAACCAATCCCCTGCCTCATTTTATAGAGGAAGAGAATGAGGTTTGGAGGTGAACTGATTTGCCCTAGGAGCACAGACCCAAATATAAGGGGCCAGAGCCAAACTCAACCCCACACCCTCTGACTCCAGGCCAGAGCTCTTCCCAGCACAGCGCTCTCCTCCCTGCCAGGGGCAGAGGCAGACATGGGCAGTGCCTTAGCAACAGGTTGCTCTGCACCAGGGTCCTCCAAGTGTGGTAGCTGGTCCAGCAGCAGCAGCACAACCTGAGAACTTGTTAGAAATGCAAATTCTGCCGAAACCGGTTTGGCTCAGTGGATAGAGCGTCGGCCTGCGGACTGAAGGGTCCCGGGTTCGATTCCGGTCAAGGGCATGTACCTGGGTCGCAGGCATATCCCCAGTGGGAGATGTGCAGGAGGCGGCTGATCGATGTTTCTCTCTCATCGATGTTTCTGACTCTCTATCTCTCTCCCTTCCTCTCTGTGAAAAATCAATAAAATATATTAAAAAAAAAAAAGAAAGAAAGAAAGAAAGAAATGCAAATTCTCTGGCTCTATTCCTAATGAATCATCATCTTAGGGGAAATCTGAGTTTTAACAGCCCTCCAGCTGATTCTAATGGATACAAAAGTTTGAGAACCTGTTTCTCAACCTTGGTGGCCGGGGGACCTTTAAAAATCCCAGTGCCACCCGCCTGGCGTGGCTCAGTGGTTGAGCATCGACCTATGCACCAGGAGGTCATGGTTCAATTCCTGGTCAGGGCACATGCCCGGGTTGCAGTCTCGATCCCCAGTATGGGGCGTGCAGGAGGCAGCCGATCAATGATTCTCTCTCATCACTGATGTTTCTATCTCCCTCTCTCTCTCCCTTCCTCTCTGAAATCAATTTTAAAAAAAAATTTTTTTAAATCCCAATCTCCAGCCCTGGCCAGGTGGTTCGGTTGATTGGAGCATCATCCTATACACCAAAAAAGGTCAGAGGTTCCCCAGTTGGGGCACATGCTTGGGTTGTGGGTTCGATCCCCAGTCAGGGCACGTACAAGAGGCAACCAATTGATGTTTCTCTCTCACATCAATATTTTCTCTCTCTCAAATCAATGGGAACATATTCCAGGTAAGGATTAAAAAAAAAAAAATCCCAATGCCCAGGCAACATCCCAGATCAGTTACCTCAGGATCCCTGGGGGGTGGTGCCCACACATGAAACTTTTTCAAAGCAGATGACTGTACAGCTAACGAGGATAACCACTGATGAACCCTCCCTTCAGCCCCTTAGGGAAAGGGGAACATATAGCCAGGCAGCTTGATATTCCCCATCCAGATTCAGTCAGGTGTCTTTCCCATTTTTGCCTCTGCACATCTTTCCAACCCCTAGTTCCGTGGTCAGCAAACTGCGGCTCGCGAGCCACATGCGGCTCTTTGGCCCCTTGAGTGTGGCTCTTCCTAAGCCTTAGGAGTGCCCTAATTAAGTTAATAACAATGTACCTACCTATATAGTTTAAGTTTAAAAAAGGTGGCTCTCAAAAGAAATTTCAATCGTTGTACTGTTGATATTTGGCTCTGTTGACTAATGAGTTTGCCGACCACTGCCCTAGTCTCTAATCCCTTCCACATTTCTCCACGCAACACAGGGGTAGCACAATCCACCTGGTCCAGGCAGCTCCACTGCCCACCCCTTAGTGCTCCCTTGCTCCTTTGAGGTCCCCCATCCACAAAGCACCTGCCAGGTGCAGGCACCCAATTAGATGCTAGGGACACTCTGCCATGGGAAGAACAGTCCTAACTTCCTGCTGGGCCATCACTCTCTACCCGATGCTGCCTATGTCTGCTCTCCTTTCTGTTCTCCCTATAATGCCCTGCCCCACAAAGGAGCAGCTCAAGAGCAACATATTTAGGACCAGTTGCTGGACTGAATGCCTGACTCAGAGTGAGACCCCAGGAAGTCCTCACCTACTGGGCATCCAGAGGAAGGGGGCTGCCTGGAAAAGGACCCCCAGTTGCAGAAGGTGCAGGTCACCTGCCCCATGTGCACATGCTTCCCCCAGCTGGACAACTACTGACCCAGACACAAAGGTGGTTCATCTCCACACCCAGCTCCCCACGGCTGTCTGTCCTGGGTCTCCTCTCCACCCGAATCGCTGAATCATCTGGCCCTTCTGCAGCTCAGAAAAACAGATAACCCAGCAGGCGCTGGGCGGGGGCAGCATTTTTGGAATGTCAACCTCACTGACAGCAAAGAGACAGCCAAGAGCCATTCGCATTAGCCTAGTTCCTTACATCAAGAAAGAGGAATTGAACTAATAAGCATTTCTCAATTCCCACTCCTGGGCCAAGCTCCCCACCCCTGAGAGGGCGAAGTTCCTGAAGCTTCAATTGAGGTTTTTAATAGTGATTATTTTAAAAGGGTGATTTAGGTTTTTCATGTTTAGGGGATGCAAGATCCTTCCTGCTTCCCAGCTGTGGCCAGATGTGGAGGGGCAGCCCAGGACAAGTCTGGCAGTGCCTGACAGGCTGGCAGCTGGGGACCTGTCACTCAACTCTTAGGCAGCTGGGACTGGAGAAAGCTTGACAACACCCTTTATTTATAAAAACATCCCCCTGCTGCCACCACAGCGCATCCTCATTTGGTGAGAGCAGCGGTACAGGCCATCTGGGGGGCTGTCTGAACGACTCATCCAGCTGCTTCTCTGACACCCCAGCTCCATGAGCCTGGGCCTCGGGAAGGACAGGCAAAGTGCTCCTCAAGGGTAGCTCCTTTAATCACGGAGATCCGGGCACCCAATCTTTCTTGGCCTGGGACAATTACGGATTTGCCAAGATACCCCGAGGCATGCTGAGAGGCTGAGGAGGAACAGGCAGGATGCCCTTTCTGCCTCCAGGCTGTTCTCCCCATGTGTTCCATCTGTGGGAGGCATACAGTGATAGCCCATGTTCAGTGGATGGGCCCTCTATAGCCCCAACCCCAGGACACACACATCATAAGTAAAAGACCTTTCCTCCCCAGGTCGTCACCAAGAGGTTTTTCAACTCTTAACCCCAATTTTAGCATCCTTGTTGTCCAGGTTGCAAGCCTGCTGAAATGAGACAGGGCGCAAGCCTTCAGTGGGAAAATGTGAGGACTGTGAGAGGCACAAGGACAGCAGAAGTGGCAAAGTAGCAACCGGTAGCTCGATGTTAAAGGAGAAAGAAAAGATGAAAAGTACAGTCTGATTATAAGTGACTCCGAGCCACAAGGAAAGACTCAATTTAGGCTGGCGCCTTCTTCTGAAGAAGGCAGAGAATATTCAATATGCTTTAGAGAACGTCCACCCGAAATAGGCTGTAGAGTTTATTTGCTGGCATCAGTGAGTGGAAAGAGCACTGGATTCAGTTCTAGACCTGGCTCTTCATTCACTGACAGGCTGAGCAGTCATTTGGCCATCCTCGGCCCCAGGATCCATCTCTGTCGATCCATCTCTGATGCCATGATGACTGCACTTATGGGACTGTAGAGAGTGTCATACGAGAGCTCTAAACACACATGAGTGATAAGTATTATTTCCATTATCATTGATAAATGGAGCAAGCTTTAGTTTTCTGGAACATTCACATATGTGGAACCTACCCCAGGGCCAGGGAGTTGCAGTGTAGGCATGCCACTGAGAAGACACACTCATCCTTATGCACATACACTTCCAACAGCCCCTCATCCAGGAGCCCTAGACTAGCATCTGGAGCTACCGTCCCGTGCCGCGGAGACCGCGAGAAGAGCAGGTGCTCGTCCAGGGCTGCACAGCATGGCAAACATGGAACAGATCTTCCAGACCCGGTTCTGGGTTCCCCCTGCTGCCCTCACTTTGGCCCCTGCCCCAGCACCCCAACCTCAGGGCCAGGCAGGTGCTCACCTCATTCTCGTAGACCAGTAGCTGGGCCTGGCAGAGGAGCAGATAGCGGTCTTTCCAGAGCCCTAGGAAGCCCCCGCTGCTCTTCTTGATCCAGCCAGCCTTGTCCGCCGTCCGTGCTCGCTGGGGCTTCTCGCCCGCCTCCTTCACACCCTGGAAGACAGCACCAGACATACCATGAGGGCTGCCACATGGGGGCACACAGTCCACAGGCCAAACCAGGGACATGTCCCTCTGCTGGGTACCTACTGATATCTTCCCATGTGAGCTTCCCCACAACCCACCAAGGCAAATATTCTTAACCCGGCCTTAGAAATAACAGTAATAACAGTTTATTTGCTGGCAGCAGCAACAACAAGATTAGCAGCAGCCACCTTGTACGGAGCCACCATTTTCACGCACTGTCTCATCTAGTCCATACAGCTACCCTCCAAGGCAGTGACACCATTATCTACATGTCACAGCAAACTCAGAGGGGTAACGTGCTAGAGTCACGCAGCTGGAAGGACAGAGCCAGAACTCACAATTCTGCCTCCCAGGTGTTCATTCAACCAGCCAACAAATGCCGTCCTGAGCACCGGCAATGTCACGGATGCTGGAGCCGGCAGAGAGGAATGAAAATAATGGATCGCTGCCCTCAGAGAGCCGGCAATTTAGGGAAGGAGGAGCTGAACAAATACACACTAGGCATAAACACAACAAGTGTGAAATGCTACGAAGGAAACAGTGAAGAGGTTGGCAGGTGAGAGAAGATAGTGCAGGCCTCCCACAGGAGAGGACATGCAAGCAGAATCAGAAGTTTGAGAGGAGGAAGCAGGCAGAGTGGTAATCTGCCTCCTGCCCCTGCCCCTTTAAAGAGCACCCTTGGAAGCCTCCTGCTTCCGCCCCAAAACAGGAGGCTCCTCTGCGCTCCTCCCCACCGAGTCCAGGACTTTGGGGCAGCCACCCCACCTGGTGAGGGCTCCAAGGGATTTGCCTTGGACCAGAGTCCTTCTGTCAGACATGGCAGCCACCGTGGGGCCTCCAGGCCAGCCACTGACATCTTGTGCCCCTCAACCACCTGCTTGGTTAGCTGGGTGCCAGGTGTATGCCTACCAGGTGGGGTCAGATTCACCTCCGGTCCCCAGCACCCAGCACTGTTACTTTACACATAACGGGTGCTCAAGAAATATCTGAGAAATGAAAATAAAAATACATGCAACTTGCTAACCACTTTGCTTCAGTGACTGGTCTGCACAGTAGTGAGTGTGAAGGGGAGGATGGTGGGGAGGGGATCAAGAGCGTGTCAGAATCTAGAGGGTGCTGGAAGGAAATTAGCACTAATTTTTGACAACTTTGTAATTTACATAAAGCTCAAAAAAGTGGCCCCAGTTAAAAGCACACCTCTCCCCAGGGGATACCCTGTGGCCACAGCTGCCTTTGGAAGGACAAGCCCAGGCAGATGGAAGTGTGGTGAGTTGCCAGGGGCTGGGTAGGGCACGGCCTCCCTGCTCTCTAACCTGGTTCTCACTGTGCCCCCACCCCTCTGAACTACAGCTGGGGATCTGAGCTTTGAAGTCCAAGTCACACAGACCAGAGGCAAATCACTTGGTCTCTCGAAGCCTCCGTTTCATCTGTGAAATGGAGATAGATATAAATGCAGAAATGGCAAAGATTATCGTTCCATGAGGGCAGTGACTTTTGTTTTGTTTACTGCTATAGCCTCAGTGCCTAGACAATGTCTGGGACACAGCAGTGCTCAATCAATATTTGCTGCTGGATAAAGACATGGCATGCAAAGCAGTGCCTAGGAGACCTAAAGTTAGCAAAAGGTAGTTGTTATTGTTGTTATTGTTGTCATTGTTGTCACTGCCACTCCCTCTGCCTCTCAGGGACCTCTCTCCCTGGGCCTGGTTCAGAATCTAGAACTAGGCCCTTTCTGGGCTTAGCTCCTGGGCATTACTGCCCCTGGAGCTCCTTGGAATGTGAGGTACACCTCAAGGTCTCTCCCTAACTTTTGGATGACAAGAAAAATGGGGAAGTTGGATGGTCCCAAATGGTCTTCCCGGATGGACGAATGAGGAAGTGGAAGGCTTGCCTGCAGGCCAGTATGAGCCATCCGGACCAGAGAGAGGACTTCAGGGCCCTTTACAAGAAGAGGGAGGCTCTTGTATCCTATCACCCACCCAACTCCTCTCCCCCCTCCCCAGAAACCCTGTGTTCAGCCCCATGGGCTGTGTGACCCTTAGGGGCCTCATCCCCCTAAGGCTGGAAGGGATGAAGTGGGAAGCGGGAAACCCCACCCCCACATTTCAATCAGCAACTGCAGCACTGTTAGCTCCTTCCTAGGCCTGCAGGCTCAGGCTACCGTCTCTCAAACCAGGCAGTAGGGCTGGTGGGACATGAAGCTGCTGCCTGGATGTCCCACCGCTAAGCTCCAAGCTCCCCTCCTGCTTTTCAGGGCCCACCACCGCCCCTTTCTAAGCCCCTCCACTTGTGACCTCCCCTGCCTGCCTCACCTACTGACACTGTGAAACTTCCTGCCAGCTGGGAGCTCCCAGGGAGCAAAACTAGAGACTTGTGCCTTGACCACAGTCCTCTCTGGTTGTAGCAGAGCAGTGCCCAGGGAACGCCATGGCTGGATTAAGTAGAGAAGCCAGTCCAGGGCCTAAGGGATGGGTGGGGCCAAGATGAGGCAAGAAGGCACTTTGGGATTGAGGGGAGTGACAAGTGAGGGGCTGGAGGCCTGAACCAAAGCCCAGGGAAGGGTCTCCTTATGAGGAATCAGCCACCGACACACCAACAGCTTCCCCGCCTGCCACCCTTCACCCAACTCCTCTCCCTGCCCCTCAGACATTCATTCCCCCACCAGGGGCCTGGCTATGTCCCAACAAGTTTTCATAAGTAGCCCCTCCCCTTGGCAGGGCTCACAGGGGGTTTTATCTGGCTCAGCCCAGTTTCTCAGCCTCCTCTCCTCTTGTTGACCAGCTGACCACTGTGCTTCCTGTTTCGCTCCCTCCTCTCCCATCGTTCCTCACTCAGGCTCTCCTCTGCCCACCGTGGGCAGCTTCTGAGGCACCCCTAGGCACCGTGGCTCCCCTTTGCCTGAGGTGGGAAGGTCTCTGTGTCATTCATTAAAAAGAAAAAGATGCCAGGTCACCCTAACCCTGTGCACAGGAGGGAGCGGGTGGAAAGCCACAACAATGGCCATAATGGAGAGAAAATTTGTTGATCCCTCACAACACTGGGAACTTGCGATGACGATTTTTGCTCTGTGTCTAAACCCAGTGATGCTCTGATCAAACTCTGCTAAGGAACCACCAGGTCAGAGCCCCGCGAGGAACTTCCAGTCTGACAGGGGCAGCACGGACCCTACTTGAGGCCCTGTTGGGAGGGACATAGCACCTACCTGCAGGGATACCTCAGTCCTCGCTCTCTAATAGGACAAGGAAGGGCTTAAGGTTGGTTTAGGAAGCCCTTGCAGAAGGCAGGGTTTTGATAGGCCTGTGAAGAGGGAAGGAGACACACACCTTGGCCCAGAGAAGGAAAGATACAAAGGGTATCAAAGACCCTACAGTCTCAGCTCCTTCACTATAGAATGAGAAAGTACAGCCTAGAAAGGGCCAGAGGTTAGCTCGAGGTAACAAAACCAGTCCTGGGACTGGACACTGCCCTGCCTCTCTCTAGATGGGAAAGGGCAACTGAGCAGCCTGGAGGCCACACCAGGAAAAGGCATGACTAAGAGGACAAGGGTAGAACCCCAAGGCAGAGCGGAAAGCCGAGTCCAGGGTTTTCAGCCTTACACCAGTGTCAAGAACACCTCACATTGATATTTGCACTTTTCAAAGCTTCTGCACATATCGCTGCATGTCTGGATCTCCCACCTCTCATTTTACAGATGGGGAAGTGAGGCCCTGGTAACACAAGTGGACAGATGTTCAGTGCCCAGACCTGCACTTCACCAAGCCTCAGCCTGACAGAGGAGGTCATTGAGGTTGTGGGGCCTAAGGCAACAAGAGTAAGTGACTAGGAGAAGAAATGAGAAGAAAAGAATTAGTGATGCCAAAGAGGAGGTAGGGGATAGGGAGCCCCTGGATGTGTGGGGGAGAGGTAAGCAAGACCTTAGTTAACCCAGCTGTTTGGGGAGCTTTTGGTGCTGTCAGTAAGTGGCAAAGTTGGAAACTCAGAGCCAGAGGGAGTGCAGGGCTGGGCTGGCCACGAGACAAACCGTGGCCCAGGAGGCCCCGAGATAACTTCCCTTAATTGGGGGCCAGAGCAGATCAGAAGATGGAGTAATCCTGTCTCACATCCTCTGGGAGAAGAGGTGGGGCCTCAGCCAGACAACCCAGCCCTCACAACAGGGGCCTGGGGCAGGCGAAGGCAGCCCTACCTCTGTCAGCAAGAAACGAAAGCAAATCACAGTGAAGTGACTTGGCCCCTACTTCCACCCACTCTAAGAGCAGGGGCCACAGTCACACTGTCTGGATCTGGGGAGGAGGCCCTCAGGCCCAATATTTTATAGAAGAGGAAACACAACCTGAGAGGGGAAGTGACTTATCTACCACCCCAGAGGAACGAAGGGCCTGGCCTGGAGGGAACCCTGACACCCCAGCTGCCCCTGGGCAGTGGCAGAAAGGACATGGGCACTGATGGGGACACAGGCAGCCTGGTTCACTCAGGCAGGGCTCCCCGGGTGGCCAGGGTTGCCTCCCCACCCACCCAGGCACAGACATACACCCTTCTCCTTGGCTGAGAGGGTCAGAAGCTGACACACACACACACACACACACATACACACACACCCAGAAGACAAGAAGCAAGTCCTCTACTCAGCCGGCCCCTCCTCTAATTTATTCATTCCACAAGCACACATTAAATGCTTGCAGTGTGTTTGCAAGTAAAGGGCAAGAGTCACAGAGTGCCTGACCCCTCCCCAGACCAAGAGGGTCCTGAGGGGAAAGAGAGAGGCTCACAGGGGCACTGCTGGTCCGGCTGCCCAGCTCCTTCCGGGAACTAGCCCTCCCGGGGTGGGGGAGGCAGGGGCTAGGACCAGCCCCTATTGGGCCAACTCTAGGGCAGGTGAGCGGGTAGGGTGAAGGGGACTTATACTGGGGGGAAAAGCAACTTCTCCAGTCCTCGGGCCACCAGAGAGGGGCACAGCCTCAAGATTCCTTCAGACAGGCACCCCAGAACCCACAGACCCTCCCAACACACACACACACACACACACACACGCACGCACACACGCACACACACACCACAATCCACACAGTCTGCCCCTCCTGATCCGACCTGCTGGCAGGGAGAGTCAGCGGTGACCAGCGCTCGAGCCCAGCACCCCAGGCCGCTTCAGCAGAGCCTCAGTCTCCCCGTCAATCCAATGGGAACAATAACGTGCCCCCAGTGGGTGAGCGCAGCCGAAGAGACAGTGAAGGAGGATGGGTCGCTGAAGCCGGACAAGATCCCTCCCGCCGCCCTGCCCGGCTCTGCCCGCTGGGGGTGGGGAAGGTGCCGGCGTCCCGAGACGGCGGGAGAGGGGCTGGAGCAGGGCCTGAGCCCGGGACCCCCACCGCCGTGAGCGGCTCGAGACCCCGGCCCAGGCCCCCGCCGGGCCGGCCCTCACCTCCTCCTCCATGGCGAGTCCGCGGGGTCCACCGATCGGCCGCTGCGCGCTCACTCCCCGCGCCGCGCGGGCTCCGCCACCTCCATCCGCGCCGGCCGGGCGGCGGCTCGCAGCGCTCTGTCCCGCCGGCCGCCCGGGGCCCAAGAAACTTCGGGGGGGCGGGGCCGGGGGCGGGGAGAGGCTTCCGGGGGCCGGGGGGCGGGGCCTCGGGGGGAATAGCGGGGCCCGAGGCCGGGAGGGAGGCGGGCAGGCGCGGCGGGCGGGGCCTGGGCGGGGTGGGCGGGGTGTGCGGACCGGGAGCCCGAGCGGGAGGAAGAGGGCGGGACGGGGCGGAGAGAGGCTTCGCCGGCCCGCGGAGGGAGAGGGGCTGGTGGGTGCGAAGGGTGCGGGGACCCGGAGGAGGGGGGTGGTGTTTCCGGCTGGAGGGGGAGGAGCGGGAGCGGGCGGGGCCCGAGGGCGGGGCCGGGTGGGGCCGGACCGGGGAGCTCCCGAGGCGCAGGCGGTGTGCGCCTTGGAGGTCCCCGACCCGAGCGGCCGGGGTGGCCGAGCGCCCCAGGCGGCCCGGAGCTGAGGCCCCCGAGAGGCTCCCCTGTTTCCTCCCCGACGCCAGGGCAGTGGCGACGACCTGGTTCCCTTCTCCCTGGAACCTCCTGGCAGGTCAGGGCCTGGAACTTGAGTCCCATCCGGGGAGTAATGTAACCGGAAGACCTGGGGCTGGGGCTGGGGCTGGGGCTGGGGCTGGGGCGCTGGGCTCCGAATCCCTTCGGGGAGAGGTTCTGTCCTGGCTCTCAGGGGTCCCCAAATGCCGTGTTCTCCAGCTGGGCGCTGCTCGGAACTGCACCCTTCTCTGGTTCCAACACCTGAGGGCCACCCCAGCCCCCTCCCCATTCAGCGGTGATCTTGCACCCTGACCGCCCTGCTAGGGAGTGCAATGTGGGGACCAGCAGAGAATGGTGTTAGTTACACCGCGCACCCGCAGTTTGCACTTAGAGAAACAGAGACCCAGAAAGAAAGTGGCTACATCCCATCCGCCAGCACCGCCTCCCCTCCCCCCACTCCTCCCCACCGCTTCCCCTTAGCTCTCAGTTGCCCCCGGGTCTCAGCAGGAAGAATTGAGTGCCTGTGGGATCAGTGGTGACCTCCTTGGGCTCTGGCTGCCGTAGCAGCAACTGCCCCAGTTGATTGAGCTCTCCTTTCACTGCCTTCTGCTGGCCCTCAGGCTCCCGAGCAGTCCCAGCACTACATGGAAAGGGGCAGCTTGGGGACCTAGGGCCACAGGCCAAGATGGAGGCACACGTTTCCCTCATGCCTGGGCCTGGGTGTCTTTATCTAAGCAGCGGTTCTCAACCTGTGGGTCGCGACCCCTTTGGCAGTCGAAGGACCCTTTCACAGGGGTCGCCTAAGACCATCCTGCATACCAGATATTTACATTATGATTCCTAACAGTAGCAACATTACAGTTATGACGTAGCCACGAAAATAATTTTATGGTTGGATCACAACATGAGGAACTGTATTTAAAGGGCCAGAAGGTTGAGAACCACTGAAAAGGGATAAAGAAAATCCAGCTCAGAGATCTGAGAAAATCCGTGTGTATGACAATCTCTTGCAGCCCATGCCTGAGGTTTTATTTTCTCAATCTGTGGAGTTGTGGCGCTATTGCCTCCCATGCCCGAGGACTCCGAAGATCTGTAGCTGGAAACATAGATTCCATCTTTAGGAGAACTGATACCCCGGGGAATTCATGTTGTTGCTCAGTAGCAGCTGTGGTGGAGGTGGGGTGAGGGGGGTTTTGATATCCAGCCAGCTCTGCCACTGTGAGGAATGAGACGCTGGTAACCGCTTAGCCTCAGTTTCCCCCTCCAGCCCCGGCTGGCCCTCTGGTTGTTGCCTCCACACCACATGCACTCACTCAGCACAGATATTTTATTGGCCTTGATTGCTTGCCAGGCCCTACACTAATAGCTGGAAGATAATGGCAAGACCAGGGTCCCTGTCCTCCATCAGGAGAGAAAGGCATGTAAACAGATAAGAAAACTGTGTTAAATGTGAGGGTGGATGAGGAGAGGAAGGACACCCAACCAGGACAGGTGTTCTAGGCAGAGGGGACAGTGTGAGCAATGGCATAGAGGTTTGAAATAGTGTGTGTGTGTGTGTGTGTGTGTGTGTGTGTGTGTGTGAGTGTGTGTGAGTGTGTGTGTGAGTGTGTGTGAGTGTGAGTGTGTGTGAGTGTGTGTGTGAGTGTGTGTGAGTGTGTGTGTGTGAGTGTGTGTGAGTGAGTGTGAGTGTGTGTGAGTGTGTGAGTGAGTGTGTGTGTGTGTGAGTGTGTGTGTGAGTGTGTGCGTGTGCGTGTGTGTGTGTGTGTGTGTGTGTGTGTGGTGTAGGGGGGCAGGCTGGAGAAGCAGACAAAGCTCAGGATAGAGAGGGCCTTGAAGGCTGTGTTGAGAAGACTACATTTTAACATCAGAGAATGGGAAGTCATTGAAAGTTTTGAACTATTAAAGTGATGGAGTCTGCTTTGCATGAGCATCATTTATTTATTTATTTAAAAATATATAAGTATATTGATTTCAGAGAGGAAGGGAGAAAGAGATAAAAACATCAAAGAATCGTGATTGATTGATCAGCTGCCTCCAGCACACCCCCTTCTGGGGATCGAGCCTGCGACCCAGGCATGTGCTTTTCACTGGAACCAAACTTGGGGCCCTTCAGTCCACAGGCTCTATCCACTGAGCCAAACCGGCTAGGGCTGCATGAGCACCATTTAATCAAGTTTATTGGGTGCTCTAAGTTGGGGTGCTTTCCAATACTTCATCCTGGCTTTTATCTATTCATTCAAAAGAATTTAGGGAGCCTCTTACCTGCTTACCGTACTAAACTCTTTGCATGTATCTCATTTAATCCTCACACAAGTAGACATCCATCCATGAAATAAATACAACTGTTAACCTCATTTTACAGATCAAGAATTCAAAGCTTGGACCTATTTAAGGTCACTTGACTGGTACGTGGTGGTGCAAGGATTCAAACCTCATCTGACTCCAGAGTCTGTGCTTTCTCCTAAATGACCTATTTTGGCAGCATTGTGTGACCAGGCTACACAAGATCCAGGCCCTGTCTTGGAGAGCTGATATACCAGCAGGAGGACACCGAGAAGGCTCTGATCACGGAGTGCACAGTGTGTGGTGAGAGCTGGTTCCCAGAGGGAGGGGCTGGAATGACTGACTTGTATTTAGTCGGGTTAGTTGCGGAAGTTAAGAGAAGAGAGGATTTTAAGGAAAGAGAATCAACTGTACCAGAGGTTCAATAAAATAGGTGTCCGCAGTCCCGGCTAGTTTGGCTCAGTGGATAGAGTGTCGGCCCACAGACTGAAGTTTTGAGGGTTTGATTCTGGTCGAGAGCACATATCTCGGTTGTAAGCTCAATGCCTGGCCTTGGTCAAGGTGTGTGTGGGAGGCAACCAATCAATGTGTTTCTCTCACATCGATGTTTCTCTCCCTCTGTCTCTCCCCCTCCCTTCCACTCTTTCTAGAAAATCAATGGAAAAATATCCCTGTGATGAGAATTAACAAAATAATAATAATAATAATAATAATAATAATAATAATATGTCCACAGCCCTGACTGGTGTGGCTCAGTCAGTTGGAACTTTGTCCTGTACACCAAAAGGTCACCGGTTCAATTTCTGGTCAGGGCACATACACAGATTTTGGATTTGATCCTGATCAGGTGTGTACTGGAGTGCCTACGGGAGGCAACCAATTGTTGTTTCTCTCCCTCTCCCCTCCTCTTTCTCAAAAAATCAATTTAAAAACACACACACAGCCAGCCCTAGTCAGTTTGGCTCAGTGGACAGAGTGTCAGCCTGCGGACTGAAGGATCCTGGGTTTGATTTCTGTCAAGGGCACATGCCCGGGTTGCTGGCTCAATCCCCAATAGGCGGTGTGCAGGAGGCAGCCGATCAATGATTCCCTTTCATCATTGATGTTTCTATCTCTCTCCCTCTCCCTTCCTCTCTGAGATCAATCAATCAATATACATATATATAAAAACAACAGCCGAAACCGGTTTGGCTCAGTGGATAGAGCGTCCGCCTGCGGACTGAAAGGTCCCAGGTTCGATTCCGGTCAAGGGCATGTACCTGGGTTGTGGGCACATCCCCAGTGGGAGGTGTGCAAGAGGCAGCTGATCGATGTTTCTCTCTCATCGATGTTTCTAACTCTCTATCTCTCTCCCTTCCTCTCTGTAAAAAATCAATAAAATATATTTAAAAAAAAAAAACATGTCTATAAGAAAAAAAAGTGTCTGCTGCCCAGTGCTCTGGAAGGTGGAAGACCACCCTTCCGGTAGACTGTCCTTGTAAGGCAGGAGGGCAAAAGCTTGCAGAGAAAGGACCATGAGCTGGAGGGGAAGGACTCTTTTAAGTATCAAATGAGCTAACATCGAAAATGCATTTTGTAAACTGCCCAGTCCTGTGTTAATGCCATTGTTGTTTTTATTAATGACCTGGGGATTGGACTGAGACTACCGGTGAGAGCGAGCAGATAAGACATAAGGAAAGAGTTCTAGGGAAGGAGGTTTCATAATGAAGAAAACCCCGTTCCTCCCGAGAGTCTGCGTCCAAACCAGGTGTCGGGTGAAGCGAGGGGAACCCGGGGCAGTGTTGCGCCTCACTCCGCACTCACCCACCAAGGCGGCAGTGGGCAGAGAACCAGGGGGATGCCTGGGCTGCCCAACGCCGAGGGAGGAAGTCCGGCCCCAGATGTTAGGCGTCCCTCTGGCTCCGCCCCCTTCCGCCGCCGACCAATCAGGAATCAGCTGCAGCTGCACCGGGGCGGGGAGGAGGACGGAGCTGAGGACCGTTAATTCGCCGCGTCGGCATCCAGTTATTCATTGGCTTCCTTTCCCTACAAGGATCTACTGTTGCAGCTCTTAAAAAAACATGAGTGGGCACATAACCACTTTTGAAAAAGCTCTGGCAGTTTCATATGAAACTAAGTACTTACTATCCTCTGACCCAGCAATTTCTTACCTAAGTATTTATGCAAAAGGAAGTACAAATCCACAGAAAACCCAAATATCCATCAGCAGGAAAATGGATAAACTAATATATCCGCACAATGGGATACTATTAAGCAAC